ATAATGGGGGACTACTATAAATCCTAATTTCTTTAAGTTGCATTTTCCTAGTATCCCTTTGACGACACTTTCATTTTCAAGTTTTCGAATAACTTTGTTTTGGCTGCATTCAGCTTAGAATTTGGTTCTAATTTATAAATTTTAAGTTCATATAATAACCCATATATGAAGTTTGAAACTTTGTATAATAACCTTGAACTTTTACATCTTTAGATTATGTAATATTTCCTTATTATATGTGATAGAAAAATAAGCGTACATTTTCCTCTTTCTCCTCCATTCTTTGCCACCTAATGTTAGGCAGTAACGTGACCTTTCTTAGTATCTTTGTTTTCTACTCTTAAATATGTTTGTATTTTTATGACTTGATTTAGCAGGTTTAAATAATATCCAGTATTCCTAGATATTGAGAATAAAGCAATCAGCTAATTTAGTATATGCAACAACTTCTTTCTTTTGTATCCAACTTTGTGTTAGCTGCTTTAGTGCTCCCGGATATTATACTTTTATGCTCTATTCTGTTACGCTGATCTGCATTTTATTTTAGATTTTGTTTAGAGTTAAATACATCCAATGCTCACAGTTAGTCCTTGTAGTGATTTCTACAGTCACCTCTTGGCTTGATGGCGTTTGTCCCCTAATAGTTGCCTCAAGAAGGGCTCATGATCGCATCATTTCCTGAGTTCCTCTATGTTCAGAACATTTGCTGCGAGCTTTTATACCTTGAGAGGAAGTTTGGCTGCACATACAACCCTTGGTACCCACTTTCTTTCCTATATTGATGGTGAATTCACGATCTCCTAATTCACTGTTGCATATCTCAACTTTTACTACGTGGCTTTTCTTTTTTTTTTTTTAAGTTTTGCCAAAATTGGTCTTCTTGAAAACTTAAAACTCTCTAAATTGTTCTGTTCTCCAGGATAAAGGAAACAAGTCATTGAAGGATAGTTCTTAAGGTCAAAATATCTCCAAAGTACTTTTTAGTGAACTTAATGATTTGTTTATTTAGTTAGCTCATGTCATTGTATTTTCCTTATGCCTTCCTCAGAGTCCTGTTTTAAAGCAAGTTAGAGTTATGTCAGAGCTAGAAAGGCCCACTGTCATCATCAGGTGCCAAGTCCTCATTTTAGGATGAAGAAACTGAGGCCCAGTGAGAGGTCAAGAGATTTCCCCAAAGTTATGCCACTATCAGGAAGCTGAGTCTGAACTTGAACCCCAGTGATTCCCAGGCAAGAATCCTTTCCACTTCACTGAGTCCTTTAAAAATATAATGATCACTCGTGTGTGTGTGTGTGTGTGTGTGTGTGTGTTTTGAGAACACTGAAGATCTACTCTCTTAATTATATGAGGTGATTGATGTATTAACTAGCCTTATTGAGATAACAATTTTGTTGTATGTATATCTGTGTATCAAATCATTACATTGTATACTTTAAACATTCACAAAGTTATATTTCCGTTATATTTCACTAACAATGGAAAAAATGTAATGATCAAATGTTTATTCCCTGTCACATAGGATAATTCATCTAATGTCTGCTTGAAAATTATCATTTCATTTCTTATTCCAAATATGTAGGGAATGACACATGCAGGGTAGCTGTATCAGAGAACTTTCAGTGGTTTTGTTGTTCAGTTACATATATTAGCACTTTCATTTTCTGTTTCCTGAAACTGGGGAACTTCAAATAAATGTAGAGTTAGTTTTCCTACTCCAAACTCCCTAAACCATCATTTTGAAATCAAATTATACAGCTTATGCTTAAAACATAAGGGCCAGATTCTGTCTTCAAATGCACCACCCACTCTCTAACAACAGAATTTGGCCCTAAAAACCCATTAACAAATATTGTCATTAAACTAAAGAGCTAATTACTTTGGATTCAGACAGAATGAACAAATTCATAGCCCAACCGCAGCTGGTAGTAATAATGGTGAGACTAACCGTATGTGCACTGGAGATTTAAAGAACAAAGACATATTAACACTAATGTAACCAAACATACAAAATCATCCTCCAAATGGAGCAAACTGTTATAGTTAGAAAACTCTTGAAAGCATATTGGTATTATCTGATGCGAGAAATGAAGACTAGTTCTAAGAAATTAATCATCATAATTTGAAATTACCAGTGCTTAATAAAGAGCAAAACCTGAGAAATTTATTCTGTTGCAATATCCCACAAATGAAGAATTACATCTAAAAACCAGTTTGATCTAATAATAGCTATCACACTCATATTCAAATCAGTTTAATACTTTAAGATGAAAAGTATGCTTTAAGGCTATTTTAAATAACTGTTAGTGAAACTACCTAATAGTTCTATAAAAGTGAATTAACCAGATAATTGAATATTTTCCAATCCCTTAAAAATATGTTGAAATTACATTAATAATACACACTTTAACCCTGGATGGTGCGTTCAGTGGTTAGAGCACTCACTCTAGACCCAAAGGGTCTCAGGTACAATTTTGGTGAAAGACATGTACCTGGGTTGCAAGTTCCCCGCCATGGTTGGGGCACATTGGGGAGGTAACCAATCGATGTGGCTCTCTCACATTGATGTTTCTCTCTCTCTTCTCTCCCCCTCCCCTTCCCCCCTCCCTTCCACTCTCTCAAAAATCAATGGGGAAAAAAATCCTCCAAAGTGAGGATTAACAAAATAATAATCATACATACATACTTTAGAAAAAGTTTTACAAACCCTGAACACTAATAAAAATCAACCATAGTTTCATCAATGAGCATAACCATTAATAATAATTTGGTGTTTATTCCTTCAATTTTTCTTCCTGTGCTTCCGTAGTTTTTTAAATATGGTTTTATAACTTGTTTTCATATACAGTATATTATGAGCATTTCCCATGTCAATAATTATACTTTTTGTACATAAATTTTAATTACTTCCCAGCTTCTTAAATTGAGAATAATAAACACATTTTAATCTTTTAGGCTATCTCACAAATGTCATTATTATAGTTTCATAATAACACTAATACTCCCTAGAGGTTCTTACATATTTAAATCTCTTTTCTCCCTACTGAATGGTCCCAGATGGCTCTACTGTTCAGAAGCTGCATCTGACTTTTAACCCTATTTCCCCCTCAATATCAGGTTTCCAGAAAAAGCTGGCCCAGCCTGAAATACACCTACACTTTCTGTTTTCCTTTCTTAATTAATGACATGGAAGATGATCTACTGATTACTAAAAAAAGCAAAAGCAAAAAAGAAAGAACAGAACAGAAGCTTCTATGTTTTTTCTGAAATTGAAATAATACAGATTTGTACTAATTTAAGTCTAATTTGGAAACTTAATTGAATCACACACTTGTGTACTACATACTTGAGGATTTTATGATATTGTGTAGTTTATTTAGGGTTTATTATCAGGTATGGCAATCTTACTATTAAGAACAATTCTGACAACAAATATATGTGAAAATTTATTATTATAGTTGACCCAATTATGTCAATCTCTAATTTTGATTACTTGAAAAAGTGCTCTCTTATTTTATGCATATGACTATATTAATTTATTTTAAATTGTTGAATAACTAATATGTGTAGGTAACTGGCACTATAAGAATATACTTTTTCTAAATTAAGGGTTTACTTTTACCTTTTGATATTTTATGAACAAAAAATTCTTTACAGTATGAACAAGGCTGATAAGGAGAGACAAGAAAATGTCTATCGGCCAGATATTCAATCAAAGGAGTTTAATTAAAAACTTTACTTTTTACTTTAAAAACAATATCATATTGTAGTTGTAAGGAATCATCACAATTTAAGATCTGAATATGTTCCTACTAATCACTTCTTTAACTGGAATTAAAAAAAAAGCAAACATTTTTGCCGAAGCCGGTTTGGCTCAGTGGATAGAGCGTCGGCTTTCGGGC